AGGGAATGTGCATCGGAGTGAGAGACTGACCATGAACCGTCAGTCATGGCTCAGTTTGAGAAGCATCTTTTGTTTGTGTGTTGTGTCAGTAGAGATTGTGTGTTGTGTTCAGGTCACCGGATGCCCTCTCTAATGTCAGTCATGCGATACACTGTTGTGCAACAGACCATGTGAGGAAAGTCAGGAGCACAATATCTTGCAACAAAGTAGTCATTAGTCATTTTTATCCACATAGCGCAACATCAAAATTCCCAAATATCTTCAGGGGGCTATAAAATCTGAACCGCAGATGTAACCCTCTGTCCTTACAACCCTCACCTACACATCAATAAAAACTCTACCCAAACATTTTTCCAATTGCTAACAGTAAAGTACCTTTGAAAAATCGAATTCAAAATGTCATTCCAAGGGTTTGTCGTGGCACAGATCGAGCATGGGGTCCTGGCCAGGTCTTGTCAGAGACGATATCTTGTCATAGACTTAAATGTAAGTCAAGGGGAACATTGAAGTGTATTGTATGGGGCGAGACAGGTCATAAAAATTACACATATTCTTGTGTTGCACAGTCAGACATTGCCATTGTCCGGCCTCATAAAAAAACATAATTTCATTGTGGATTCTTCTAATGAATAATAAAAACGGATATGAGGAAGGGCAATGAATCACACACACACTCCCAAGATAATAACAGTACCAATCAAAGCCTACACCGGTCACGTTATAATGACAGTGATAATGAACGCTTCAATGAACACTTACAGTGACGACAGTGAACGCACCGCGCATTGCAAACACAAACCGCCTGCCTCATCAAAATCAGCGTGTTGGGAGGAAAACAGTTATGTCAACAGAACATGTGGCTTTTCAGTAACAAAGGCAAACACACACACGTGAGATCACAATGCAGTGTTGGTCATTCTCCAGTGACATTGCACTTGGACAGGTTTCAGCATTTCAGTTGATACAGATGCTGAGTCTGAAAAAAACCTGAACATGGCAACGACTAATGGATCTGGTGGCTAATCACGTGTCTGCTGATCATTGCAGTTGATTTAATAATCACTGGATTGGCTTTGGTTCCAAAAAAAGGCTTAAATAAACCAATTTGACTGATTAAAGTCTTGAGTATGTAAGTCGCTTTCGATAAAAGCGTCTAACAAGTAACATGTAATAATTAAAGTTTTAAAAAAAAAGAGTTTTCCTTGATTTGTATTTAGCTTACAGCACACTAAAGAAATTAGACTAGCAAATGTTAGTTTATTTTTCTTTAAAGGTGAATATTAAACACCGTAGATTAAACCCCTTATTAACTTACATAGTCAACTATCATAAAAATAAAAATAAATCACAAACAAAATAACACCACGCATTGAATATTTATCCAACATCTTATCAAACATACATAAGAGGACTGTGGTCAAATTATGAAACACGTTATAAACGTTATAAGAACTCCAATTGTTTTCAGTTTACAACACCAATACCTGTAGTAAAAAAAAATGCATGAATGCGTGAGGTGTGTTATAAAAACATCCATCCATGTTGGTTCAAACCAAAGCAAAAGCAACGACGGCATGACTTCACAGACCCTCATCTGTTACCCTGAACATGCGATAACAAGACCCTACATCCGGATGAACCTCTATAACATTTAACTTTTATTCAACCAAAGCCACATCACAGTGTGGCTTATATGAAGTGTAATCTGACCCGGGAAGATAAGAGGTTAT